TATTAAGCTATCGTTGTATAGACATGGGCAAGCGCGGATTTTGATATTTCGATAATTTTAATGTAGCTTAAAAAATTTGCAGATTTCTTATAACAATAAAGTCTTAAACGTGTATAAAGAACTGCATCTAAAGAAAAGTTCGCCATCGGGCACATGTGACAATAAATAGCAAGGACAATTATGTGCGCAAAGTAATTAGAATCGCAGGACAAAGAACGCATTTTGCAAAATCGTGGCATGGCGGATTCGTGGCGTAAATTCGCGTTTCTCATGTTTTTTCGGTAGTGAAATGTAATGTTTAGAAGTTTGTTAGGTCATCGAATAATTAAGTGCTTGTTTCGAAAATCGTTTTCTCAATGTGAAGCAGCGGAGCTCTTCTAAGGAATTTTCAACGAGTGGAGCAACCGGTGGAGCAAATTACAATACCCTAGGTGGTGAGAAAAAATATTGATTTATTATTTGAATATGTATTTAATTGTGAACATTATTATATGTACAATTGCAATTATTTTTCTCCAATATTTATAAAAAAAGAATGGTTATGTATATTTTGATTATGTATTTTATTTTAATATATATGTTTAGGTCAAATATTTATTGTGACAATAATGGGTCAATAAAGACCGAACTTAAATAAATATTAAAAATTAATTTGCAAAATTTGTTATTTATATACATGATATTTTCAATCTATTTTCTTTGAGAAATATCTGGAGTCTCTAATTTTTAATTATTTTTAGGAAAGTTGTGCGATGAAAATTTGATAAACATGCAGACAGAGAGAAATATTGGGGTGGAATAAAATAATCGTTATGTTGTATATTTTATTAATTATTTAATGAAATAATTAAATATTTGAATAATTATTCATTCAGTTTATCGTGTGTGAATAATTAACCAAATATTATTATTAATTGCGTTTTTTAATTAAATTGAAATAATTCAATAATTTGTTAGCGTATATAAAATGCGATAACATTCATAATAATTATAATGCATTAATTTTTTCCAGATATAGTTGAAGGCGTATTTAGCTAGATTACAATGACCAGTGAGTAAACTCATTTATTACACTTACATTTTACAATATTGATATCATTTGTTATTTTCTAATATTTATTTTATTATCTTTTGGACAATTGAGGATTGTGCTTTGACAATTGTGTCTTTATTTGCGATCTACATTTCTAAGAATAAATAAAATCAAAATTTCTTTCTATTTTATCAAAAAAATTTTTCAAATTTGTTTTTAATAATAGTGTTATATATGTATTGAATTACGAAGTTGTAAAATATAGGCAATTTAGATTATATAAACATATAAAAAATAAAATTCATACAGATGTAGATTATAAAGAATTGTATTTATAGAAATATTGAAAATATAATTATTTATTATAACTTCAACGTATCTACAATAAATATCCTTTAATTATTTTTATTTAGTAAATTCATTACATTAATTGCGCTCAATGTTTTTGTAAATTAATGGAATGCCAAAGTACTGTTTTCGGATACTTTGTACGACGATGTAGCAAAAAAAACTACGATTATTGATACAATTGCTTATACAGCAATTGGTATAATCAGCTCGCTTTTATGGTACGCGTTTCGCCAAACAGTTCCCTTCTTTCGTCAGGTATCATAAAGTTCGAAGGCCTTTTAAACGTGACACGCTTCATGAAAGGAAATCATCTTGTATAGCGTTGTAAAAGATATTTCATTATACCTTTTTCTTAGTGCAGTTTCGTTATATAACTTTTGTAATTACATAAACATTTTTCAAATTTATTTTATCTTAACGCGCGCGTTCGAGAAAATTAGTGAAATTTTAATTAGCTATTAGCTTTAGCTTTAATTTTGATGATAACTGACGATTAACAAGAAATTGTTTAAAATGTGATAATAGCAGTTATAAATCGTAGAAAAAAATACGCTCAATTTTTAATGCTGTAATTTTTTCTATACACGCTAGAATTCATTAATATTAGAAGGATAATAGTTATTTTTAATATTGAACGATATATTTTTTATTACTATACAATAATTATCAGTTATTTGTATGAATAAATATAGAGTCACTTATAAACCAGTTAAGTTTCGCTTATAGCCAAAGAATATTTCGCTTATCTGAAGCTTATCACTATTTAAATGATCTAGAAATATTTTATGATAGTCATTTAATGAGTAATGCAGTTTACATCATTTAATGACATCATTTCGAGACAACGGATATTTAACATTTTTAAATGCTAGTTCCAACTCATTTTCTTTAATATTAATCGTTTAACGTGAGATAATGTTAACAAATTAATGATTCGAGACTGTTCAATATGGATAGAATGATAAGCGACACAGTTAGGAAAAAGTGGCACTCCGTAATCGGAAGATGACCGATTGTTGATTTACTTGGTCGATTTGGAAATACACATTTACGAGCCACTGTGGGATGAAGTGGGTGAGAGGGATAGCGAGACAAGGGAGAAGATATCTTGGAATGATAATGATAATGGTAATGATAATGGTACCGGTGCAGAATGTCGGAAACGCGGATTATACGAGCATTCTTTTCTTGTTCAATACTTTCTTCAACGTCATCTTCATTGAGTCTGTTTACAGTTAAGAACACGACGCGATGCCAAGATGAAATTAAATGTCCTGACTTTGGTCTCTCACGGTCGTTGACATTTAACATTTAAAATCGGCGACCCATCACCATTAATTGACACTCGATTTCGCAATTGATTGTCGCATGTTGATCAATCAACAATGGTATCAATATTTTTCACCGCTCACTTATTCATGCTTCTGCATATAATAATTTGAATATCGTTTTTTTAATCCTTTTAGCATAAAGTACAAAAAATTATTAAAATTAGAAAATTATTAACACGCACATATTAGAGAAGAGAGAAGAAAAAATTATTTCTATCAAAATAGACATAAAAGAAAACTTTTTTAATTTATATAAAAGATCTGTTTATAACTTCTTGATCTATATTTTTCATTATTTATTTTCCAATATTTATTTGCAATATGTAAATTGAGATACAAAATCCATTTGTGGGTTACTATTTTCTATTTACAGATCATACTTATGATGATAAAAAAATGCTAAGTATTATAGTTTGTAATACTATGAATAAATACTTCCATAATATATTTGTATTAAGTTTATTATCTACATTTTTCTTACAAGATTTTGAAAAGTTTCTTGAAAAATAGAATTATTAAAATATTTTGCACTAAAAAAAGCTGAAAGGATTAACGATGATTTTAAACATGAATATGAATTTGAGCTAAATATATTCGATGTTTGATCGCACATGTTAATGAAGACTTATTAGAAGCTTCTGCTTCATTAGAGCATTTGTGAGAAACATGAGGACCTTCTCTCTCACGTAGCATCTTCTTATTTAACAATGTACACATACATGAATTCTTTCTTTCATAATATGCAAGGAACGGTTGTTTACTTTGAATATAAGACACTCGATATGCAGGCTCCTCTTACTGATTTAAAAACGAAAATGAATAGTATCAGATTTTACAACATATTTTCGTTTTTTTGTATTTTACTTCTATTGGTTTTAAGTATAATAGTTTTAAGTATAATAGAATTGAAAATAGAGTTAAAAATATAATAGAATATATATACAGTGAGAGTAAAAAGTATTTGTACAAGGAAATTTGTTATAAAAAAAGTCTTATTTGTAGAAAATAAACATTAATTAGCAATTTTATACAATGAATATATTCTAATATAAACAAATCAGCTTAGCTTGTATTTCTGATTTTAGAAATTAAATGTCTCGTTTTTACGAATACTTTTTGAGCATTCAAACAATACAATTTTTAATTTTCGCTTATTTTTCGAATGATATATTTTGTACAATTATTGTAATACACATCATTTTGGTATATAATTTTAAGAAACATATCGTCTATTTTATTCTTTATGAATAAATTGTTAATCATTCAACAAGAAATGATCGTTAATTAAATGAATCGATGTCAAATTGATATTAAAATCATCGAATTTATATTGATTTCGACATCAATTCGATAACTCATTTCTCACTGGATAATATTTTTTAAAAATACAGTTTTTTTTTTAAATATTCTTTGTACGAATACTTTTTGTACTCACTGTATGTATATTCTCTTATATGAAGTTTATTCAATTCATTGTAATATTGAATAAACAAATATATATATTGTATATTTCAATCTTTTATTACAATTTTGCATTTCTGCATTTTAAGCGGTGCTCCAAATTTTCCTTATATTTTTCGAACAATGATTTCAATGCAGAAAAATGAAAACATTCATTATTACATGTGCCACAATGTGAATATTAATATTCTGTCGAAATATAGAATCTAAAGCTACTATTTTTCGTAATTAATTTTAATCAATAGAGTTACATGATTATTACACATTATTTTTATCATCATTTAAATGAAATTTCCTTGTACTGCCATTCTTGATGATTTTCGTTACTAATATTCCTCACTCACGAAGAGATTTACCTTCATGCTACAACCATTCGTAACACGTGCATAATACCATCGTGCGATTCTCGGAAAGTATCAAATCTCAAAGCTCGTACGTGCGCGGTAAATGGCTATATTACGGCATTTTTCAAGGGTTCTTCACGCGTGGATGTACGTTGGAAAATGGTGCTACGAAGAATTCTCATTGAGATAACGATACGACGGAGTCGTCGTATAACAGGGATGTTGGTGCTTGTGGGACTCGTTTGTTATGAAAGGAGGGGGAGAGGGAGAGAGAGAGAATTTTTTTTCTTTCCGCTCGTCGCAAGGCGCTCGCTCCAGCTGTGTGTTACGCACAATGCGTAGCGCGTAGCGAGCACGCGCCGATCGAAATTTAACGTTTGCCGTGGAGTACGGTTCGGTCAGTTTCCACAAGCGGCGTCGTCGTCGGGATTGCCCGAGTCGCGCGCGCGGGCGATCAGTCCGATCAGTCGGGAGCGTGAGTTCAGTCTGTGGAGACGTATCGTTCGTCGTTCGCTGTTCGCCGTTCGCTCGCCGTCACCGGTCCGCATCGTCCCGTTCATCATCCGCGTCATTCGGTATACGTCAAAACGCCACGCCGCGATTCGTTCGAGGTAGATCGAGGTGTCGTCCGTTGTCGCTCGTGATTAAGTGTCTGCGGATCAGTGTGTGTCGTGTACCACCAACCTGATTAAGTGTCACCGGACTAACGGAGTGCTTCGCTCCACGAGGGAGGGATCGGAGTAATCGGAGCGAACCGGAGAAGACCTTCTCAACCCCCAAGCTGTCCCGAGACGCGCACGATTTTCCCCGGCTGTGGTGAGTAGCGAACGTTTGATCTCTTGTGTTTTTTGCCGTGATATCGTGAAAACGGAGCGAACACCTTTCACAGCTGTCATGCACTTCAGCGAGAACGACTGTCGAGTGCCGACCTCCGCGCACGATGCGCGATGGCGCGACGAAATTGATTTCGAGCGCACGCACTGCAGGCGATCCTTGATGCACTCTTTCGAGTGCTCGGCAATAATATAGAGTTATGTTCAAAGGAAATGTCTGCTTGACAAGAAATTTGTAAAAGCATTGCGATCGAATCGTCGCTTTGGCTTGTCTCTTTAATCTATAGTTTCATAAACATAAAACTTAGAAAAAGTTCAAAATCGAAGATTGCCTGTAGTTGCTTGCAGTCGAATCCTTTTTAATACCTGCGTACTTCTATGTGCTTGTGTTTGGCGACACAATTAGACAGATATATGCAGAATGATATTGTATAAAATAATAAAATTAAATAATGATTAAAATATAGTAGAATAATAGAATTAAATCCACACACAATATAAATTCAGCGTTAATCTTGATACGCGTTATATATTTTAGACCTAAAACATTCCTTTTATTGCACCATTTATCCGACGTCTAGTATCGTAATTCAGATCGGGGATTAAACGTGGAATGTTGTTAGAATCAGAGCGTTCTGATCTGCTATTTATTTCGATGAAACCGAGATTTATCACTTTGAAAATCGCAACGCCATAGTCCGGCGTAGGTCTCGCTCGGCAGGGTAACTCTTCGCCGCCACTTACATTGTAAAATGTGAATTTCTTTGCGAAGCGTGGCCGCGTTTTCTAGAAAGGCTCAATACACACGTGCAATTTCTTCCCTGGACGCGAGTTCGACAACAGGTTTTCGCACGTAAGCATCCGCATACGCTTACGTAACGCGCGTCGAAGGTTGTTCGATTGCACGAAGTGACTCTCGGGGGAGCGTCCTTACACTTGCTGACAATAATTCGCCAGGTTTACGTATTTAAATCCAGAACTTCTTTAATCACTCGCATATTTGAAGGAAAGGCAGTCCTTCTTTTAAAAAGCTTCTAATTTTTTTCCACGTATGATTAGATTTACGTATATAAATAGGTATCATATTTTTTACATTAAATAAAAAAATATCTCAAATAAATAGGCACTATATTTTTTATGACTCTTCGTATGCGATAATAAGGATAAAATTATGATTAGTATTACACATGAGACTTTGTAAAATTAGGATAAAGTATAACCATTGATTGCAATCCGCATCACACGATATGTAATACATTATGACACAATCGTCTTTGGCGGGCACAAATGTTGACAAATGTGAGCAATTTGCCGTCGTTTGCAGAAACGTCGCAAGCGTCGACGTAAATAATCAATAATGGCTCTTGCTTCAACAAATACGCATAATACTGTTTCTTTATACTGTCGCGTTCTGAGTGAATGTGATTTTTTTTCGAGATGTTTTACAATCGTGACACTTATTCTTCACGACATTCTAATTGGCGCCTTAGAGAAAAATGTAATTCACGCCATTTAGTTTCCATGTTTTCCATGCGAGAACGGATGTAACGTAATCGTATACCGCAGGACTTTATTATCTATGCGTGCAAGGACGCATGTTCCTCTATTGTTTCGTGGTCGATGTAAATAGAATTGAGAGTCCAAATAAGTTTCCTTGTCATTTCTATCGTATCCTGCATTAGAATTGCATTTTTTCTACATTTTTCGACGCCACGAATAAATAAGATTTCGATCTCGTATCTCTCTTTTACGGAGATACAGATCATTGTATAAAGAATGATTAACTCGTGTGCATGTGCATTTCTGAGTCCATTGTTTTTACAGGGAAAAGATAATAAAAAGAATCCGGGTCATTGGGAAAAGGTAAAAGTAAACTTGCGATATTGCTATTTATTTTTTTATATTTAGGCTGAATTTATTTATATTATATTTAGGCTGAGTTTATTTATTGCAACTGAAATTATATTTTATTCATTTTTCATATTTTTAAAATAATATTAAAATTGATTAGCAAGAAATAAAATCGAACGGTTATTAATTGAATTTTAATTACTTGTCAAAATTTTAATATGATTGCTTCTCTTTCCAAATTCTCAAAATTATGTATATGTAGAGAATTTTCTCTTACAGAATTTACTTTAAAAATTATGGTAATCGTAGGACAACACGGTATTTCGAAGAATTGTATGTGATTCTTTTTATTTATTGACAATTCTCACAGTAAAGTACAAATTATATTTCATTAATTTTACCAACAAATATAGTAAAATTTCAGTAATTATGTGTATTATTAATGTGTTTAAATAGAATAGATATCAAGTAATGATACGTATATAAAGTATATATAAATTTATATGAATTTTACAATACATCACGAGATATTTTCAATCTGATTTAGTCGCTCATAATAATTTTATCATACAATATGGTAATTGACTGTACTACTTGACATCTATTCTATTGTATTTGAAACAATAAAGAATCATAAACTGCATGATATATTTTAAAATTATTGAAATTTTATTTCATGTTTAAAATTAATCAAATTTAAATATATTTTACATTTTATTGTGATAAATATTAATAAATCAAAAAGAATCAAATAAATTCTTTGAAATATGTTGTTTTATTGATTTGATTACCATAATTTTTAGGGTAAATTTAACAGAAAATTATCTCCAAGTATTATATTACTGCAGAGTTTATTGCGTATTTACGAAATACGTACAATACGCATTGTACTCGCATATGACAGGTATATGCCATTTAAATACATCGTGAGATAAGATCGCTGATAATATACGTGCATGACTGTGTGACCCATTGTCATCATATTATATTAGGACGACATTGAGCAAACGTCTATGAATCATGCTGTTTCCGACAATTATATCTGCTGATAGTAGGTTATGTTATAATTTTATTCGTCATATCCGACTTTTTATAGTGTTATCTTGTGCTATTAATTTGTAGAAATATTAGAATCTTCCATGCAATTATAATATAATTTTATAATCTACTTTTTATTAATCATTTTTATAATTATTTATAATTACAGATATTTTACTGCCATTTTATTGACTTTAAAAATATATATCGCAAGAAATCTGTCGTAATCATAAAGATACTATTAAATATTATTGCGGAAACTTAATTTAACTCTTATTGCTTGTGAATATTTCCTTCGCGATATGGTATCTTTGGTAACAGCATGATAAAAATTAATCGCGGTTGCACAAGTTTGCATTGTAAAGAAATTTGTTACTCACAACGCGTACGGGAATCAGATCTATTTATAATGGTATCAATTCATAATTGACGTTTACACAAAAAAGTACGAAGAAACATGAAACACATATATTTGAATGTCTCAGTTGCGAAATTGAGTGTATAATACTTGTACGTTGTATTGTTTGTTTGGTCCGTTATACTGTTCGGACGTGATTTATTATCGCAAATACGCAAAAACAAACGCACGTATTTCCTTCCCGTTTAAATAATCGGGAATGCAAAGCCTCGGTGAGTTTTTTGCCGTGTATCACGAAGTCTTTCATCAAACATTTTAACGGGACAGGTTCATGATGTTCAATGAAAGCGTATTTCTTAGAGTTGCCGCTGATTACGTAACGAGTTCGTCATTACCTTTTTTTTGTCTTTGAATTTCATCAAAACATTTTTTCTCCGATAATTACATGCTTTCATCGTGCACTTACAAGTAAATATTTATACACAACAAAATTTTTTCAAGTCGCACGCGCTAAATTAATTGAATTTTGGTTTCTTTTCCTCGTATGTAGAATTCTTTGACTACGTTATGAGTTCTATTATTATTAGAAAATAATTACTTTTTTTCAATCTCTCGAATATATTAATGTAGATGTAAAAGAGCATTGTATAAAATACTTTTGAATATTTCTAATTAGCATATATTAAAGTATATATTAATAATACAAACTAATATTCGTAATTGAGAATTCGAAGTTGTAAAGTTGTATAGAAACGAATTGTTGGAAAATCTTGACAGACAAATTGATTATCTCGACATGTTTGAACGTGTTTTGGAGAATTGCAACTTTATTAATTCTGCGGTTATAAACGCATAAACCTCAAGATTTTCACATCACAGCTTGTATAAATATGCAAATAAAGGATTGTCCGCGGTAGATTGACTTCTTGGTGATCGATGCATCGTGGCAACGTGTGTTATCACCGGTGGGATTTAAATCTTTAATCGTGCACGGTTAACGCCCGACAACGGTTGCAGCGTTTGCATGCCACAAACTTATTACGCTACACTCGAAACGATGTGTCGTTGCCACTTTACGTTACGTAAAACCTATCGCTATCGATACCGCTACGCGCTGCACGCTTTCGACGCTATTCAATTATCCTTGCCGCATTCTGCTAGAGAAATTCGTTTGCTACGCCCCTTCGTCTCGCGTCTGCTATACGCTTTCCTCGGGTCCCAAAATCAATATAGGCGTCGCCGACGCCGCCGATGCCGCCGACGCTGCCGCCACCGCCGCCACGACGACGCGACCGACGCCGTTCTGATCAGGGTTCCATCATCCTTTCCGCTGAATTTCTCGTAACGAGAGATAAGAACTTCCGCTAAGTCTCTAACGAAATCGGGCGAATCGCGCCGTCGATTTTTTTAAAATTGCCGACCATAATTAATCGTCGCGATGTACTTAAACTTCTATAAATTTTATATTTTAACTGGAAATCGAAATTGATCTCTATAGAAAGAGAGCGAGAATTTAAATTATTTTTGTTTATGTATTAAAAATTGAATAATATATTTTGTCTCACGTCTCTATATATGTATTATTATTTTGATGAGAATATAGTTGAGTTGTTGTGAATATTAAAACGTCAGTCGTAAGCTGGGGAGATCCAGAGATAAATCATGGAACAATCTCATATTAATAGTCGCGTGCCCATCGATCCCGCCTTTGTTATCCTTCGGGGGTTGACTCTCTG